GACATCAGGCCTGTAAAAAAGGTCAATGGTCTACCGAATGCTCAACGGAAAAAAGGCGCAGGGAAAAAAAAATTGCAGAATCAAGTGTATTCCCTGGGCACGGAGTATTCACTGTCATCCACAAGGACACCCAGTCCTGAGTGGATTCCCCGGGCTCAGAGTATTCACTAGGAGTGGGTGGGGAAGGGGGCAAAAGGTACAAATGAGGCGCTCACCAGATTAACGGAACGTCTGGACACGTTGAAACACGTTATAAGTTGAGGATGGGGACTGAAGGGAGGTGGCCAAAATTTGGAGAGTTCAACAAAAAACACGGTATGTGTATTTCACGTGATTTGTCATGTGAATGTCACAGTCACTATAATCAGAGTACGTTCCAAGTACATACTGAGAAAATGTCCAATACCGCTCGTTTCAATCGTGGCAGAAACGCCGATGGAAGTCGCCCTTCCAAGCGCCGACGGACAGGCGTCTATCACGACCGACTCCTGCTCAACGATGACTTGGACATCATAAACTCCCGTGAAACTCAATTTAATACTTCTCATCGACTCGTCTCGGAGACACCGCGTACCACTCAAATGGGGGAAATGATGTGGGTGGCTGACGATAATGAGTTTGGGCTGGACCCGGGATCAGAGTGGTACGAGGAAGCGATGGAGGGGGACGTGATGGTGGACGGAGGGCTGCCAGAGGTCCAGAAAAAGAAGAAGAAAGCCAGGAGCAGGCTATCAGTAAGCAGCCCTTCCACTTCCCTTCAAATTGCCTTTCTAATTTCCATCCAGAAGCGCCCGCATCTCGTCTGGAAGGAAAGACATCGAACGGAGTACCTTGATGAGTTCATTCGATGGGAGGGCCGAGGGGATTTTCGACGGGAGAGGGCTTGCCCAGATTGTGTTGCTCGCGGAGTTGCCTCACCTGGCACCCCTGACCATCGCTGTTCTGACTGCTGCTTACCTGACCTCATATGCGCCTCGTGTTGTGTTCGACGCCACCGTTGTCCCGTTGCATCATATAGAGGTTCGTCCAGTTTCACTCAGCCGTTCTTTCCATTAATTTACTGGGCCATAGAAGTGGAGTGGTCATTACTTTATCAAGACAAGCCTGAAGAGCCTCGGGTTACGCATCCAGCTGAACCACACGCGATCAACGTGCACCAACGCTGAGCCCTGCCACCAAGACCTTCGCATTCTCCATACAAACGGCATCCACGACATGGCCTTCGACTATTGCGGCTGTTTACGCACTGTGCCAAAGCACATTCAGCTCCTTCGGCGTGGGCTTTATCCAGCCAGTCAAAAAACACCTAAGACTTGTGCCTCCTTTGCTCTTTTACAGCTACTCCATCTGCTCGCATTGACCACAAAGGGTTCGACTTACGACTTCTACCGGACGCTGGAGAAATTGACCAGCAACACAGGCCTCAGCGTGCCAACTTCGAGATATCGGCCACTTCTGCGGATGGTTCTTCAATTTCGACACCTTAAGATGTTGAAGAGGGGAGGCATGGGTCATGACCCAGCAGGGGTCAAGGGGGTGGGGGAGGGTGCTCTGGGCTTGAGCTGCCCCCACTGTCCTCGCCCAGGAGTCAACCTTCCTGATGGATGGGACAAGGCGCCAGAATCTCTTAGGTATGTATGCATGGCGTTTAACAATGGGGCTGGTTCTGATTGATTTACAGGTTCTTATACTTTCTGACCTACTCCATGGACGCCAACTTTCGTCTCAAAAATCAGCTAGTGTCCTCCTTCTCCAGTGATCCAGGCCTGGGTATTGGGATGGCGTACATGGTGCCACGCGAAGGGTATGACTCCTACGTGTTGTCTCGGGCAAGTGATGCAGATGTAGGTGGTCCTTGCCCCACCTTTCTTTTATAACCCTAACGGCTACCCAGATAAGTACGTGTGTGGGCTTTCAAGCCCTGGCAAAGGCGAACTCTAAGTTTTCGAGGGGGCTGAGGTTTACGGGCGTGGGGGCCGTTTCGTGTGCCCGCTCGGAGATGGTTCTTCCGACCTGCGTCGGGAACCTGCAGAAGGGGGAGAGGTATGTGCCTTTATTCATCCACATCATCCAACGACTAAACGTTTTCAGGTACGCCAATATGGACTACATATTTGGTAGGGCCATACGCGATGTTTCCCCCAACATACCTGTGGTCGTGAGCTATGACATCGCATGTCAATGGTTTGTAAACCTTCGAAAAAGGATGGACGACCACTGGCCTACGGATCTGCTGCCTGCCTCCCCCCTCGACATGCGCCCACAGATCCCTGCTTTCCACGAGCCAGGCCATGGCCAGCGGAAACACCAAGAATATTCCTTCAAGCTCTCATGGGGGATGGGGCTCACGGATGGAGAGGGCTGTGAGCGAATATGGGCAGCAAATAACGCCTTGGGTAATGCTATGAAGACGCAGGGCCCTGGTTCACGTCAAGACGTTATCGACGACCATCTCGGCTTTTGGAATTGGCTAAAGTATTGTGGTGTGGGTAAGAATTTCTTCAAAATCATTAAATTCACTGCTGACTCCATTGTACAGGTAAAACGTTGATGAAAAAATATAGGACCGCCATCCGACAGAGAAACGTTCAGGTCGAAGGCCATCGAGGGTTCACCAACACCCTTCCAAAGGAATTGGCTGCTGAGTGGACGAAGCTGTGCGAGGATTGGGATAGGGCGACATACCCAAAGCAGGCAGAGAATCCGTTTATCACCCGCAGACTTTGTACGTCTTTATGTTTATCTCACCCCCCTCCTTCCTGACATGGCTTCCTCGAACAGGCCTGACTGAGGCAGAAATTCGGAAGGAGTTCGCCGCGGAGGAGGAGTTGTTGCTTGTAGGCGGTGCACCTGCCCTCCACTCCACCACCATGTCCTCGTTCATGGTCTTAGCTTTGGATCTGGAGGATTCACAGTAGGTTTGTTTATTTTTAGTGCCTTAGGCAAAGCTGATTTCCTATTCAGGCGAAGACTCTGTGAGCTGGCAAAGTCACGAGAGAGTGGCGGGACGCCTGGCCAAGCAGCTTCGTTAACGGAGCTGCGTAATGTGTTACGCGCAAAGATTAAGCACTGGGAGCAGATACGAGGGGTGTACATGCCCGGGCTTCAGCGGCTACAGCTGGAGCAGGAAAGGACCAACAGCAAAACGCTGCACGCAGGGCCCTTCCAGCCACCCCCTGCATCTAATCACCCAGAACACGTTGACCTCTGGCTTCCCTCCTCCCTCTCTTCCACGTCACACATATCCGTCTGCAGCGCTCGCCTCATCGCCATAGAGGAGAAACTGAGGACAGCCCATTGCAGTGATGCACTGGAAAGTTTGCGTCATGTCCTCTGTGTCAAGAGCCGGATGATTCTGTTCAAGAACAAAAATGTCAGGGATCAGAGAGATGGTATGCGGTCTTGATCGGTCATTGATCGGGTACATGCTCGGGCACAGGCTGCAGCCGCCAAGTATCGCCTTGCTAGAT